ATATATGGATATATATGTATATATATGAATATGTATATATACATATGTGAATATATATATATATATTATTTGTGTATATATGTATATATATGTATGTTTGCATGTATGTATGTGTAAATGTATATATATATGTATATATGTATATATATGTATATGAATATGTATGTATATATATATATATATTTATATACATATACATATTCACATATGTATATATACATATTCACATATGTATATATACATATTCACATGTATATATACATATTCACATGTATATGTATATATATGAATATGTATATATACATATGTGAATATGTATATATGTATATATATGTATATGAATATGTATGTATATATATATATTTATACACATATACATACATATTCACATATATGTAATATTCAATGTATATATGGATATATATGTATATATATGAATATATGTATATGTATATAATTGTGTATAGATATAAAAGTGTATATATATGTATATGTAATTTTTATTTTATTTTTAAAAAATAAAATTTGAAATTCTGTATTTTTATTTTATTTTATTAGTTTTTTAAAAAAAAATTCTAGAAATTTTTTTATTTTTATTTTATTTTTTATTTATTTTCTGATGTGGCTGGATGATGTGGCGAAATATGCTGATTTGGCGAAATCTGTATGACGTGGCATGCCACGTCAGCATTAAAATTGACGGAACTTAACGTCGTTTACGGATATGGGGGAAATTGCAACACATTTTAAGATTTTGTGGGGGAATTTGGAAAAATTTGAAATCCGGTGTAGTTTTTTGTCAAATTAAAAATTGGTGTAGAAAATTGGAACTTTTTCGAAAATTTGTGGGGGAATATGGGATTATCCCAAAAGAATAAAAGAACAGTATTTTGCAAAAAAAAAAAAAAAAACTTTTAATATTTTTAAAATTCTATATTTTCCGAGTGTTGTTCCATGCGAACTCATAGAAGAATAAAAGTATATTAATTTACCGAAAAAAAGGAATAAAAATATACTATTATATATTGTAAGTTCCAATCAAAATCTCGAGTAAGTACTAAGGGAAATTGATGAGGACCCCTCGTGGTGGCAATGCAATGATCTTGCCCGTTAGTTTCCCTTTTGGACTGCCCACGCGTTACGATAAGAAATTTTTCTAAACCCAAAATTATGGTATACTTCAAAACTCTAATTATACTTTTAGCAATAGTAATCGTAGCGAGAATAATATTATAGACTTATGTTAGACCACATAATCGTAGAATTACATGTAATATGATATTAGGATAACGTTATACATTTTAAAATATATATGTTTTTTTCATTAGTTTATGACATGTATATATATGTTTATTTTATTATTTAAGGTTTCCAAATCATGTAAATATATTGAAATGTTGATAAATTCACAACAAAAATAATACTTACTCCTTTTTTTAATAGTTGACATTATAGATAATATATTTTTCTATTTAATAGATGTTATTTTAGATTTTCTAAATAATTTTAAAAAAATCCAATTTTATCTTTACTTTTAACTACCCAGCTTCAATAGAGTATTAATGATAAAAAAAAATTAATGAAGATATATATGATTTTTTATAATTTTTTAAAAAGTGTGAAAAAATAAAAAACAATAAATATTCAGAAACAGAGGGATATCAATTTTTGAGCAATATATTGAAAAATTGGACAATCATATGCTTTTATATATGATCCATGTGATATGAATGCATGTTTCATGGCTTACTTTATTAGTTAGAAAAAAAAATCTTATCCAATTCGGTCATAATTATTAGATCACACGATGAAAATATGTGCAATGCGAATAAACCATGACTTGTTGGCCACAGCATTAAGATATGGGACATCTATAATACAATATATATATATATATATCTCCAATTAATCATATAAAGCAGCCATAAGTTTAAGTCGACCATGCAAAATTGTAGCTTTGGATTACGGCATGTTTCGGGCACCCGTTACATCTGGTTAGCTTATTTTTAATTCGTGGTTTTCAATTTTATAAAAAAATATATATTTTATACAAATATATTGTTGATTCAATTTGTTAATTTAGTTGTGTCAGTTTCATTATTTTCTTTTTATTCAATTGGATTTTGTACAACGAAATTTCTAAGCAATCATATGATTAAAAAATTATTAAAACAATTTCTATATTTATTTAGTCCTTTTTTATTAAGCATATTCCCATTTCTCAACTTGCCTCCGATCGAACATTTAGACAAGGCATAGAATATGGGCTTGATATGTGAGGCCCATTAACTAGAAACCTCTCTCGTTAAGCCCATTATCTCCGCACAACAAATTGTAAAGATGGGTCCTTGGGCCCATTATCGCATGAACCGATCGAGACAACCACATTGGCCGAGTTAGCTAACCAAAATTTCCGGTCCACCGGTTTACAAAAACCGAATCCTCTATTCAAGGGTATACCGGGTGTTCCAATGCGAAAATAAACCGATTTCCCACTAACCAAACCGGTTTGGCTGGTTAAAATTTATCATCGGTGTTAATGACGCAATGCTCACCGATGTTAAGTATGATGGGTCCAATTTCATGGTCTGTATATGTAAATATATATTGTAAGAATATACGAATGGTTTAGTTTCATGATCAATCCATGAAAATTAAGTATAACAAAAATCTTTTGATGTAAAATAAACGTAACGACGTCATGCAAATACAAATGAGACCGCGACACTAGAAACCCGTTGACTTTTTCAAACATTAATGTATTAAAACATATACATATACAAGTTATAAAAAATATGTTTACCCGCATATAATTTGAAGTTTCAAATAAATAAAAATAACAATGGGAAGAAAGTCAACGCCATGATAAAAAAGGCCGTCATCCACTTACGGGAACGGGGGGCGCTCCAACTGCACCGGAATTACATAAATACCCCTTGATCTGGTTCTCGCTCGGGTGTGTATATAAACATGGAAACGTCAACACTTCCTCTCCTCGTTTTACCAAACGGCAGAACGTGCTCACCGACAGGGAGAAGGAATAGGATGAAAATTGACCAAAATAAATAAATAAAAATATTTAGATCTTAAGATTGTAAGATTGACGTTCACCCATTAGCCCTCGCTTTTTGACTAAGCCTCACATATATTAAAGCTTACATTCCAATAATATAATCTATGTTAATTGATATTTCTATTTGATTACATACAATTTCATCAGATCCAAAATATACCTGAAAAAACTATTTACATTTTCTATACATACATTCGCCATCTAGCAATGATGAATCCACGCACATTTTTTATATACGTGTGCGCGCGTTATGTTATGTAACCATTCTTACACGTAAAGGGCGTATGCGTCATTTCACACTAACCACCGATATTATTAAATTACTTTGAAGTTTTGTTCGTTCTCTCCCCCCCCCCCTATTTAATATAAATCAAACCCTAAAACTTATTATAACCCAAAACAGAACCTATCATCCGAAAGAGAGAAAAAAATGAAATCTTCAAGTCGGAGATTGTTGTTTATCGTGTTCATGATCTATCTCTTCGCCGGAATCTGTATCTCTCATGGCCGAAATCTCCGTTCGAACAACCCGATTTCTCCGGAAGAGTGTGAAGCACAAGTCTTGATGAAGAAGCCGAAGTGGGCCACGGCGGAGTTCTACGGAGAGTTCTGGCGAACCTCCACCGGATCCGCCGAGAGAATCTTAACCGGCGAGAAACCGGACCCGGTTTACGGAGTTTCCGGCAGAGAAGTTCCCGGCGGTCCAAACCCTCTTCACAACCGATAAAATAATATATCGTTATTATCCTGTCAAGTTTTTCGAAATTGATTGTCTTGATTCATAGGGATTTTATTATTTTATGTGTTTTTTGAAGTTTGTAGGGATGTATACAATATGTTGATGATATACGTTTAGAGAGTTTTAATATATATTGTTATATTGTATTATATTATATAGAGGTATGGAAAAGGACATTTCTGGCTGCGTTTTGGAAGAGAGATGAGATCAGGGAACAAAGGGATCATGTGATTTTTATTTTTATTTTTATTCATCGGGATGTAATTAATAATAATAATAATTGTAAATCTCTATCACGTTAGTTGCCAGAGTATATAAATTTTATTTAATTGCTGTTGTCCAATTAATTTCGTTTACGTTTTCATCGCAGAGCTCGCCAGTTTCTCCATATATTTTCTTTCCCCATAGGACATTTATTGTTGTTTTAAATTTTCCTTATTTACGAAGAGAGTTGAAAATAAAGATTAATGTTTATTAAAAGAAAATGGTCAAAATTTATATGTGAACCCATTATATTATAAAGTCTTCTCAGCGAATTATAATGAAAAAGGAATAATACAAGCCAAGACCCATACGCATTAAAAATAATAATTTAGTGATACCGTGATAATTATGAGCAATAGCTAAATGGGTAGGCCATGTGTTTGACCTCTCTCTTAGTCCAAGATGTCGCATGATTTTAATATCGAAAATAGAATATTCATACAAGCAATCGTAAACACATATGATATGGATGTGATATATCATTTAATTGGTAGACTAGTTTCATAAAAAAAAAATATAGAAGTTTTAAAATATGAATGAATGTTTAGGGCAATATAGACAAAATATATTTAGATTTTTAATATTAATAATTGAAAATTTTAATATATAATATAATTTCCAGCATATTTTTTGAAAGGGAAATGATATTTAGTTAAGCGGTCAAAGCATATTATCATTTTTCAGTTTCCGTATATTTTCTGATAGTGTTGTATGTTGTATCCATAAGTACTATACGATATATGATTTATTAATAATATAGTTTGAATCAGTTTTAGTTTTGATATTATGCATGTTGTTAACATGCATGGGTAATATTTGTTGTCACTAATAAAATATATGTTTTACGTCAATATTTTTTTTTTTGATAATCGGGTGATCCCAATTCCAAAGGCCCAGACTAATCCCGACCCACGCGTACGACCCTACAATACACACGTGGGATGTGAAACACCCGAAGGTGATAGGAGGAGAATCTTCATACTCTGGGTGTTAAACTCACAACCTCATTTACAGGAAGGGGACTCTCAAACCAACAGAGTTGAGATTCCCTTTTTACGTCAAAGTGTATTTATATTAACAAACGGCCAAAAAAAATGCCAAAGATACGTTAGTTTTTAAGATTTTAACTTCATGCGACGTCTAGACATTATCATCTATGCATCAATTGCATGTAATCGAACCATATTTTCATGTATAATTGAATGAAACATTCACATATCTTAATCCCGACGGTCGACAATCAGTAGTAACGATTCTCTACTATCAAGGAACTGATATATATATATATATATGTATGTATGTATGTATGCATGTATGTATGTATGTATGTATAATGTGCGTGTGCGCGCGCGCGCGTGTTAAATACATTCATAACATTCTTGAAATGGATTTCGATACCCTTTTTTTTCTAACATTTATCGTATTTTTAAAGAATACTTCTACATATATTTTTGTTATAATATTAAAAATCTAAACTCAATGATTTACACATCTTATTGAAAATCTTGAATATATGAGTATAAATGGATTTTCCAGTGTGGAAATTGAAACTTTTGTAGGCATACCTTGACGACGCATTAATCAGTAATTTAGTATAGAGAAATGTTGACAATTTCTTCAAAATCACATTATTGCATCTTGAACTGTATAATATCACTATGGGACCCTACGAAGAAATTTTGATATAACAAATATTAAAAGTCGAAGCAGATTTTAACTCGGATCCAAAATTGTAAAAATTTAATTTTTATGTTATTAATGGAAATTTTAGGTATTAATTAATCGAAAAAATTAGTGTTTTTATATGGTATATTTGATAAACTTCAATATTTTTTTTATATGGAATTCTCTCAAATAAAACTATGGGGTAATCTGGGAATATTCTAAACATTAGTATTTCACGTGTCCTCGAAAGCCCACGTGACTTTATGCTCCCAAAGTTTCTGTCGGTCGCCCAGCGAGAGAGAGAGAGAGAGAGAGAGCGTGAGGAGAAGAGTGAGAAACTGGTTTGCCGAAGAAATTCTTTCCCCCGCATGCCGCGTCAGCTTCCGCCGGCTATTACGCCGGATAAGTCGCCGGATAAATGCGTCAAGCCAATTGCTTATCTTTCCGATCACGTTCTTGCTTTCGAACAGAATTGAGGGTTCAAACCTCGTTTGATATTTACCCTGCAGAAGTTCAAGAACAGAGAAAAAACCTGACAGATATTTGAAGAAAGCTTGAGAACAGAACGGAAAGAAACACAGAAACTGAGTTCCAAACCAGACAGATCCAAACGGAACGGACAAAAGAAAAACAAACTTGTTCTCTCTTCATTTTTATTGTCAATCAATAGAACAAACACTTGGTTTGGTTTCACTTAGTATGATTCTTCAGATTGCTTCCAGCCTCCATAGGATTCTTCAAAATCAATTTCACGAGTTTCCTGACAAGAACAACCAAGTAGACTTCAATTCAGTTTTCCACCATCATGGATGTCTGAAAATCGAGAACAATGATGATGAGTTCTTATTTACCAGAGGAGTGAAAGTGAGGCCGACCCAGATCTCCCCTTTGTATTCCTCATCTTTCACCACATTGTATGCTTTTGGTGGGATCTTTCCCTCCATGAAAACCGGCTCCAGTGTAATACTGCATTCATTTCAAAAGCCAAGAAAGAGAGACAGAAGGCTCTTTGCCATGTTATCTCTATCCTGTCTTCTTCAGACATGAAAACATGGAATGCGAAAAGACAGATGCTTACAGTGCTTCTCCGACACTGTCATCCTGAGTGCCGGTGTCTTTGTCCAAGATCTTCAGTTTCAGTTCTGATGTTCCTTCGGAGACAGTGAACATGAATGTCTCGTTCCATTCCGGAGTCGATCCCTGTCCTGCATCCAAGATCGATCAGTGATCTCTATCAAGATTCTTGATTCTTTCTCTTTTGCAGATGAAAACCGAACAGAGATTTCTATCAGATGCGGTGGAATTCAGTTCACCTGATGCGACACTGCTCTTCTGATCTTGCGTCCGGCAAGTGATAACCACGTAAGGATCCATGTTATCTAAAAGCATTGAAACCAAAATCCAAGTCAGAACAGATACATGCATACATACACATATATCCACGCACAAGAGCAATGGTGACAAATGACATTTCATAGTTACATCATGTACAAGGTTTTTGCCTCAGCAGCAGAAACAAAATTTCCTGGAGATTGGTTTCACAGATCGATCCGACAACGAACATGTGATAGTAATAACAATCATTTCAATCCAAAATCATCGACCACATGACTCAAACGGTAAAGAAAATACATCAATATGACCTCGAAATTCCAGATTTCCATCAGAATCGTCATCCCACAGATCAGATTCATCATATACACAAAAAAAGTTCGGATCTTTCAAGTCATGCGCATCATAAACACAGATCCAAGAAAAAAAAATCTATACTCAATGATCAAACACCATGAGATTTGATGTTCATCCTGCTTTCAACCGATACATTTACAGAACTACCTACGCATACATTCGCAGAACTTTATCATATTACATGTTTGGATCAAAACTAATAAACAAAAAAAAAACGCAAAGGGTATCCATGATTTCAAAGAAAAATATGAAATTTCGGGAAAGAAGAAACGAAATCTTACTCAGGAAATCCGAGTCTTCGAGACCCTTGGCGTTGACAAGAAGAACTTCCAGAGTTCCTTGAGGCATTTCTTCTCTTTTTTTTTCTCTCTCTCTCACGGAACAGAAAATGCGAAGAACAGATCCCCGAGAGAGAGGAAGGTTTTGTCTAGTCGCTCTCGGATCTGTCAAAAGAGAGTCTATTTCCAGCGTTCGCTTTCGTCAGGACAACGTGCGTGCGTGCATACTTACATACATATATTATATATACATATAATCAGACGGCACGCTCTGTGTAGAGCGTGCGGTTGACGCGCTTCCCGCGTCTGGGGAAGACAAAGAAAGTCGTGTCATTTATGTTTTTTGTTAATAGTATATATCATTTACCAAATTTAGAATTTTAAAAATAGTTAGAACAGTTAATGTGGTCCAATTTTCAAAGAAAGGAGTTACTCTCTCAGTTTAAAAGTATTTTTCGTTTTAGATTATTTTATATTTTTTAAGAAAAGAGAAAAAAATTATATATACTCTGATTTAATATTTTTTTTCCGAGAATTGCAATCACTATGTGTATTATAACGAAAATCGACAATGCAGAAAATACCGACCAAGCTCTGCCCGAGAAGGCCGGGAGATGCAACGGCTGAAATGCCTCAACAGAGGAAGCTCAAACAGAACTCCAATGGAAGTAAGTTTTGGGTTAATTGGTAAACTATGATAAATATGTCACATCATCAGAAACATATACCTTTTTTTTTTCCTTTGCACACTATATTTTTTTATAAAATTTTGACAAAAATACCTACTTTATGGTATAATTTCAATATTGTCATTTAGCGCCCCAAAAAATGCACAGCATGAAAAACAGATTTTTTTGAAACTGTGTTATCAGAGAGAACTGTTTTTTCATCTGGGACAACTATTTTTCATCGGGGAGAACCTGTTTTCATCCGGAGAACTGTTTTTCGTCCGGGAGAGTCTATTTTTTGTCCGGAAGAACTGTTTTTTTGTACGGGAGAACAGTTTTTCATCCGGGAGAGTCTGTTTTTTGTCCGAGAGAATTGTTTTTTGTCCGGAAGAATTGTTTTTCGTCCGGGAGAGTCTATTTTTTGTCCGGAAGAACTATTTTTTGTCCGGGAGAACTGTTTTTTGTCCGGATGAAAAACAATTTTTCCGGATAAAAACACTTCTGCCAGATGAAAACAGATTATACCGGATGAAAAACAGTTGTCCCGAATGAAAAAACAGTTCTCCCGATAATACAGTTTCCAAAAAAAATTGTTTTTCATGTTGCACATTTTTCAGTACGCTAAATAACAATATTGAAATTAGATAGTAAGAATATTTTTGTCAAATTTTTATATAAAGGTATGGTGAAAAAAAATATAGATTTCAAATAACATGACATACTTGACATATTGGCGCAAATTTTTTTCAAACCTTTTTTCTCTCAATCCCTTTGAAATTGACTAACTCTAGAAAGAAAAAAAAAGAAGAGATTGTTCTTGTTGGGTTACTATGAATTGAAGTTGGCAAATTCCGCTCTTAAACATGATTTTGATTCATAAAGACATAAACTTTACGAGTTACAACACTCAAAAGTCTCAAGCTTTTTCTTTTTCCTTTTTAATAATGGAAATAAGAGTGATTTTGATCATCCAGCTTTGTTTGTGGTGTTGTTTATATTGAGTAGGGTAAAGGAAATGTGCAGAGACCAGTGGAAATGGGCAAGCAACAATCCATGGGGTTACCACAAGAACAAGCCTTCATCTTGATTGACTATTTTCCCTTTTTCTCTTCATAACATAATGTTCCATTATAATAATGTGCTATGTTTTTCTCCCTTGACAAAATAAAATATTAATATAATAATAATAATATAGCAACCTATATGCATACATTCTCATCTTTCTCAAAAGATCTTGAGTGTGAAAAAAAGATAGTACAGAAAATAAAACACTTCAAATGGCTATAAGATGTTATGCGAGTAAAAACATCATGTTTGACAAGCCAACCAATGTATACACAGACATATATACACACACCCGCATACGTATTCACAGCCAAGCCAATGGAGAGCTAACACATGGTGAAATCCTAGAAGAAGTCTCTAGACTTGTTGTTCATCACTGTGGTGGAGGATGTTGTACTTACAGAGAGGGCAAGTGGAGTTCATGTAGAGCCATTTGTCTACGCATTCGCAGTGGAAATGATGGCCGCAAGTTAGTTCCCTTACTTCTACTCCCTCTTCATACTCCGACAGACAAATGCAACATTCCTGCATTTCCGTGAATCCCCGTCTCAAGGTTAGGAAATGAGATTTGTCACATACAATTGACATTTGATTAAGATGAATCTGTGTATGTATAAGATGAATGTGTGTTCATCGTGTGAAGAAAGGAGATTGTCACATAGAATTGGCATTTGACTAATATGAAAGTGTGTATGTGTATGTTGTGCATGGCAAAAGGGATGTGATGATGGATTCCATGATTTAAATAAGTTTTGATGTGAGTTTTGCTCACTTACTGCGTCCTCCTGGAGAAGGGTATGCTCGATGGGCGAATCTGTGCCACATTCAATCATAATTCCTCCGACATTTCCTTGGACATCATCACCAGCCCGCCTGAATTTGAATTTGGTGAGCTGTTCAATGTCTTCTTTAGATGCTCCTTCCTGCTTTTTTTTTTAATCAAAGAATTGTCATGATGTGGAAATAGAAAAGAGGGAAACTAGGGGAATGAGAGATCCCGTCATCATCATCGTCATCTGTGTAAGCCATTTTTTAGTAAAATTTCAGAAAAGTAGAGCAGAGACCGAGTTATGCCCGAGATCAAACTCTTCATATACGGTAATCAACTTTTACACATAGGATTAATGGGTTATCAGAAATGGTAAACTGATTATTATTACATCGAGTACCTGATCAGCTACAGCATATAGAACAGCTATGATGCATGGTAGACAGCAGCAAACAGCAATGCCAATCACGAAAGCCAGAGCGACGCAGAAGACGGCAAAGAAAACATCAAACCCGAGGAAGACTATGCACAACCTGCAAACAAATGAGGGGTCTGAACTCGTGAAACCAGAGATTTGTCGAGGCTCTGAAAATATATAGAGTCAAAAGGGTAAGGGAAAGGGACTGAACCAGTAAAGCTGTGGAGATCCCCGTGCCAAATCTTGACCACCGGCAGATACCCAGTAAAATCCGATGATCCACCATATGAACGAAAACATTGTGTTGGCGGATTCTAGATGCTTTGCAGCACTGCTTTGGAAATAGTAAGTGAAAATAAGAAAACGCAAAATCCTTCTGCAAAATACAAGAATAAACAAAGAAAAAGAGAAGCATAGCATAGAGATTAGAGATGCCGGATCATATACAAGAATAAAAACTGTGTCCATAGATGATAAAGATTCGATTTCTGGCCGAAAAGAAGATGATAGTTTGAAAATGGGTAAGACCACTTCGATTACCATAAGTCACATTAAGATGCATTATATTGTAACATGATCTACAGATACTCCCCATATCAGATGGCAAAGCAACAATTTAAGTAAGAACTCCTACCATTTGAAGAAGGTGATAGAAACTAGCTGGTTTCCTAAGCTAACCTATAAATTGACGATAACGTATATAATCAAGAAGTTCAAATCACCCTACAGAAGAATCGAGCTTCTGTGCCTTGAATACCATATCTGATCCTTTCTTAGAATATCTCTCAACGAAGGACCACAAGTTCAACAACATAAACAAACTCAATTATTACAACTCCAACTCCGATGCAAGTTTGACACTTTTAACTTCATTTTTGCGATTATCAGATGCACAGCTTTGCGAAGGCATTGTCACCAAACCAAAACTCGCACACCATGTAAGTATCTGTGCCACATTCCATTCGAAATATAGACGAGTATCGAGCACATAAACAGCACATGTAATATAAGATATCGACCTGTTGTATTCTTGCTCGTACTGTCCCAATGTCGAGTACCGTTCCTCTGAATTCCTTCTTGAACTCAAACCCTCTTCCTCCATGGAAGAAGATGAAGAGGAGGACGAAGAAGACCGGGATCGCGGGCTCCTAACCCTTCTCCTCCGATACTCCACGCACACGCAAACCATATGAAGAACGCATTGCAAAGCATACCCAACGATCCATACCCTAAGCGGCATGTTTGGCTTCTCATCACGGCTCAGCACAATAACAGCCGTGGCTACGGCAACGAACGCCAAATTCCAGACGATGTCGAGCACAACCACAGGCTTCGAGTACGCCCAATCGCTCTGTCTCACCTCGAGCTGCTCCGCCGCCGTCTCTCTGACCAACATCGACGGCTGTCTCATCATCCGTCCGCTACTCGCTCGCCGGAGAAACCTCGCCGCCTCCCTCAGGCTCTGTCTCCGCACGGATCGTCTGCCTCCGCCGCTCGTTTGACCATTCCCGCCACCTCCGCCGACGCTTCCGTCATTGCTTCCGCCGTTCAGAAGCAAGGGCGTCGAATCGATTGCGTCGGAAGAAGAATGCCGA